TGGACATGTCATGGAGAAATGGATCCAAATATGTGTGATTTGAATAATATGTATCCAAATTCATCTAATAATGCACACGAGGTTGATAGAGAAGACTTTGACAACATGATTCATGATGCTTTAGGTGCAGAGTTTGTGAGTCATTTTGATGAAGAAAATGAGCAGTTTCCAAATAATGAAGCAAAGAAGTTTTATGATTTATACATGCTTCACAAAAACCATTGTGACCAGGATGTACTAATCACACTGAATTATATGTTGTTGTTAGATTGTTTTAATCAAACATTGACTCTTTTGAAAGAGACACATCCTGTAGATAATTTTATCCCAGAAAATTAATATAGAACCTTAAAATTGGTTTCAAAACTTGGTTTATCAGTAGAAAAAATTGATTGTTGTGTTGATGGGTGTATGTTGTTCTACTCAGATGAAGATAAACAAATATCCACATGTTAGTTTTGTGAAAAACCTCGTTATAAGACAAAAAAACTGGGTAGAGGTAAATATAAAAATGTCCCTATGAAGAGAATGCATTATTTACCCCTCATTCCTAGGCTTAAGAGATTATATGCTTCAATGAGTTCTGCTCCGTATATGAGGTGGCATTGTGAAAATAAGAGAAAGGAGGGACATTTGTGTCATCTATCAGATGGAGAAGCATGGAAACATTTTGACAAGATATTTCCTGATTTTGCAATTGAACCAAGACATGTAAGATTAGGATTATGTGTTGATGGTTTCACCCCATATGGTCAATTAGGAAAACCATATTCTTGTTGGCCAGTGATTGTAACTCCTTACAATTTACCACCACAATTGTGCATGACTACCCCCTATATGTTTTTAACTTTAATTATTCCTGGGCCAAAAAATCCAAAGGAAAAAATAGATGTATATTTGCAACCTTTGATAGAAGAGTTAAAAATATTGTGGAATGAAGGAGTGTTGACATATGACATTTCCAAAAAACAAAATTTTATGATGAAAGCTGCATTGATGTGGACTATTAATGATTTTCCTGCATATGGTATGTTGTCTGGTTGGAGTACAGCTGGAAGATTGGCTTGCCCATATTGTATGAATAATTCAAAGAGCTTTTGGTTAGATAGTGATCGTAAGTTTTCTCGGTTTGATTGTCATCGTCAACTTTTGCCTATGAATCATGCATATCGAAGAAATAAGAATGCATTTTTAAAGAATCAAATTGAAGATTCTCAACCTCAGTGGCGATCTTCTTGGGAGCTGAGGGGGGTCGTGGCCCCCCAAAGTTTTATAACTCCCATGTAATTTATGATTTTGGCCTCCCCAAATTTAATGAACATTTATTATATTTACTTGTATATTTACAATTTTATCCTCCCAGCCCCTTCTCAGTTTTGTAACTCTTATATAATTTATGATTTTATCTCCCTTAAACTTAATGATCATTTAATATATTTAAGTATATATTTACAATTTTATTCTTTCACCCTTTCATCTTCTTATTTCATTTTATATTTATTTATTATTTATTAATAATATATTATTTGACCCCTCCAAGATGAATGGTCGAGATCCGCCACTGCTCAACCTCCATTGATATTTCTCTGGGGATGATGTGTGGGAGCAAGTTGCTTATTTTCCAGAAGTAACTAAGGAAGTACAATTTACATGTTATGGTTGTGGTGTATATCATAATTGGATAAAACAAAGCATTTTTTGGGAGTTACCATATTGGAATTTCAACATGTTAAGGCATAATCTTGATGTCATGAATATTGAGAAAAATGTGTTTGATAATGTGTTTAATACAGTGATGGATATCAAAGATAAGACCAAAGATGATATGAAGTCAAGAATGGATGTAAAAAAGTATTGTCGGAGAAAGGAGTTAGAATTGCAACAATTACCTAATGGAAAAGTTATAAAACCTAAGGCACAATTTGTCTTATCTAAGGAGCAAAAAAGTATTGTCTATAAATGGATTAATGAGTTGAGAATGCCTGATGGTTATGCCTCAAATTTGCAAAGATGTGTAAATATAGAGCAAGGAAAAATGATTGGAATGAAAAGTCATGATTGTCATATATTTATGGAGCAGTTAATTCCTATTGCTTTTAGTGCATTATCAAATCAAATTTGGAAACCAATTGCTGAGTTAAGTAAATTCTTCAAAGATCTATGTTCAACTATTTTGCGAGTGAATGATTTGTTATTAATGGAGAAAAACATTACAATTACATTATGTAAATTGGAACGATTCTTTCCAACTGCATTCTTCAATTCAATGGAACACTTACCTATTCATTTGCCTTACGAAGCAAGAGTAGGAGGTCCTGTTCAATATCGGTGGATGTATCCATTTGAGAGGTACTACTTTTTAATTATTAAATTTGAACATGCATACTTGTATTATTTGAAATTATAATAACCATATGATGGTCTTGTATTAGGTACTTGAATAAGTTAAAAAAAAATGGTTAAGAACAAGGCACGTGTGGAAGGTTCAATATGTGAGGCATATCTAGTGCAAGAGACTTCTCATTTTTGTTCATATTATTTTGAGACTCATGTGCAAACAATGAGAAATAAAGTTAGCCGCAATGATAATGGAGGTGAACATGTAGAACTAAATTGTGTATCAACAATTTTTAATCATCCTGGTCGCTTTAGTGGAAGATCTTCATGTCGATACTTAAACAAGAAAGAATTAGAAGCTGCACATTTGCACGTGTTACTTAATTGTGAAGAAGTTCAACCATTAATCAAGTAAGAACCAAAATTTATTTTGGCATGCATTTTTCATGCATAAAACCACTAACACAATGTTATCTGTAAATGTTAGAATATTTGAACAATTTCTAGAAGCAATGAATCCAAACATCACTCAAAGAGAAATTGAGGCTCGGATTGCTTCTGATTTTCCTATATGGTTTCAAACATATGTAAGTTTTAAAAATATTTTGTAAATTAATGATAAGAATAATTTATTTTCTCACATTAACCTATTCATTCATACTATGTTTATCATTCGTTTAGGTTCATGATAGGAACAATATGGTTCAAGGTCAATTTTTACATGACTTAGCATGGGGTCCACGAAAAAAGGTTTTTACATGGCCTATTTATTTTGTCAATGGTTTCAAGTTTCATACGAAAGAATGGAGCATTGGAAAGAAAACTGTCAATTGTGGAGTTTGTGTTAAAGGGGATGATATTGAAAATGAAGAAAACTATTATTATGGTATCATCAAAGAGATTATGCAACTTGAATACATAGGAGAGCCAACAAAAGAATTAGTTGTACTCAATTGCCAATGGTTTGATTCTAAAAGGAATCGTGGTGTACGAGTTCACAAGGAATATGGTATAGTGGAGGTTCATCATCGTAGAAGGTATTTGAATTATGATCCTTTCATACTTGCATCAAATGCAATTCAAGTATATTATATGCCTTATCCTGAAAAGGTTAAGGAAAAGGTAGATTGGTGGGTTGTAATTAAAACCAAACCAAGAAGTATGGTTAATGATCAATATACACTAGAAGTTGCCTATCAACATGGTCTTTCTAATACTCAACTTGTGTCAAATGATGAAGTACTTGGTCAATTAAGAGACGATGAAGGTGAACATGAATAGCTAGTAGAGAATGAATTACTTGATGGAAATGAACACAATGAATATAATGTGGAAGATGTAGAAATCAATGAAAAAGAGTATGATGAGGAATTTGATGATGATTACAACTCTGATGATGATCAAAATGTTGATGACTCATATAAATTTGATGAAGAAAGTGATGTTCATATCGATGATGATGATGATGATTATAATGATAATGATGACGATGATGAGTGACTTTTGTATTTTCATAAATGGTTAGTATTTAATAATTATAAGCACACTTAATAATGTCCCCATCAAATTATTTTTTTGTTATTTCAAACATTTCAGTAAATATGTTATTGTTTAATTCATTACTATTACTTCTTAAATATATGCAATTTGCTTATACATTTTTGTTATATTTGTAGATGTCAGACAAAAGGAAAACCAAGCTTATTTTAAAAAGTCGTTTGATGAAGCACCAATTCAATCAATTACCAAGAAATAGCATAGTTGGACCACAAGTTGGACATCCATTAGTTGGAACTATTGCAGAACATGTTAGTTCTACTCCTTCATTACAAAATACGTCTAGTGATGGTCGTACTCCACCACTTGGAGGAAGTTCTAAATCTCTTCCATTAACTTCTCCATCACTAGGAGCACAATCACCACATGAGACACCTTCCCCACAAAGTCTTCAAGCATCTAACCCTCAAACTGAAGGCACGTTTGTTTCTCATGATGATCACAATGTCTCAGATGTTCAGAGCACTTGTGATAAACCCATTTTAACACTTGATGGATATGGGTAAATCACTTAAATTTTAACAATGTTATATTTTGTTCAAATTCTATAAACCTTGTACTTTATGACTTTATTTGTGTTGTAGATTTTGCCTTCATACTTTGCAGCTAATGCCATTGGTGATATTTTCAAAAGTCATTACACTGATGCATGGCCATCATGGAAAAAGGTACCTGAAGCTATTCGAGACATGTGGTTTAGTGAGTTCATGGTATGTATTTATATTAGTTCTTAACTTTAAAATAAGTTCTAATTATTGAATGTACTATAACATTTACTTGTTTTGTTTGGGTACAGAGAAAATATACTATTTTTCCACCTGATCATAGGTTGGCTAGGAGGAACTTTGAAATGCGAGGTGAAAATATATTGAAAAGTTCACTAAACAAGGCACACATGATAATGAAGAAGCCAAATTGGCTTGCAGAAGATGTATGAGATATCTTATGCCAACATTGGGGATCAACAAAATTCAAAGTAAAAAGTCTAACTGCAAAAGCAAATCGAGCTTCTGATTGTGATGGACTTGGAATGTCACTCCATACTGCTGGCTCCATTAGCACTTCTCAACATAGAGAAAATTTGGTAAACTTTGCTTTATACTGGTTTATGCATGTATTGGTCCTATGCCAGAGGATGAGTCTGATGTTTCATCTGTTTGTGTATCACCCTTGAATCCAATCTCCGTAGCATCTGTGTGCTCCTTCACATAAGAAATATTATGAGTATCTTTTGTTTCACTCATTTCAGTGTTACTATTGTGTGTTTCATTTGATGCCACAGATTTTGTTGTCTTTTCTAATTCACCACCCTATAGATTAGAAGATTCACCTGCAGCTGCATCTCCTTTTTTTATTTCAACAAGGACTGTTGAGTTAGAACCCGAATTGTTTTCTTTAGAGACCCTATTGCCACCCTTCACTAATCCTTATGTTGGCACATTTTTTACATCTTCAATAATTGTTGTGTTCAGGGTACCATTTTGAGTTTGGTTTATGTGAATTATATTGCTGGACTACATTTAAGTATGGAAAGAATGTGACATTATTTAGTTCAAATTTGATTGCATGATGTTGTTTATGTTGTAAGAGAAAAATAGTTATTACATTACATATAGTCATGGCTTAACAAACTTCTTTTCTTTTATGGTGGATATTGAACTTCTAAGTTTGTGTTCTTAATTATATTTTAGACAAAGTTGAATGGAAACCCCCTACCCCATCAGAGTTGTTTCGCAAAACACACCAACGAAAGGATAACACATGGGTGGATCAAAGATCAGCACATGTGGATGTAAGTTCCTTATTTTTCTTTATATGTTAATTTCTTAAACAATTGTATACTTTTTTTTGTTTTTATCCAATTAACTACTATTCAATTTTAATGTTTATAGGCAGAGTTTAGTCATGCATGGGAAGAAGCCTCCCAATCAGGATCTATTACAGGAGGCTCTCCGCCTGATGAATTACAGGTTTGGTGTAAAGTTGCTAGAATGAACAAAGGCAAGGTCTATGGGCTTGGATCTGAGTCAAGCAAAGCAATTGGGAGAAATCTTTGTCAGGACTCTACTTCATCATCTGTCCAGCTTATGAGAGAGGAGATTCAACAATTAAAACACAAGTTACATGAAGTTGAGACTGAAAGGGATGATCTCCGTGGAAGAATGTTAACCAATGAGAGACAAATTCAGAAAAATGATAAAATGATGCTCCTCTTAATGGAAAAGATGGATGTTCAACTTCCTGAATTCTGAACTGATACTTCTATTCTATATATTGTATTTGTTTTGTTAGTTTCTGACATTTCTTGAATTATATATTATATTTGTTTTGTTAGTTTCTGGCATCTCCAGAATTGACTCTTACTTTAGTTTATTCTACTTATTTTTAGATTGAATTTTCAATATGTAAAAAAATATTTAATCTATCAATGATGAATTTATGTAGAACAAAATTTGTGATATTATTTTGATGGTTATATCGGGTAGTGTAATTTTGATATATTTAATACAATATATAATATATTTCATATTCATTAATCAGATTTATCGTTATTTTAAAAATAAAAAAATAAAATTAGTGACCGATATAGTGACCGATTTGATCGGTCACTGAATCGGTCACCGATTCGGTCATCGAATATGTCACTAATTCGGTCATTGAATCGGTCACTGAATCGGTCACTGATTCGGTCTCTGAATCTGTCACTGATTCGGTCACTGAATCGGTCACTAAACCGGTCACTGAATCGGTCATTGGATCGGTCACTAAATCGGTCACTGATTCGGTCACTGAATCGGTCACTAATTCGGTCACTGATTCGGTCACTGAAATCAGCGACCAAGGAAAGAGTGACCGATTTGAATTGGTTACTATTTCAGTCACTATTTTAGTTAGTGACCGATTTTGGTCATTTAGTAACCGAAAATTCGGTCACTATTTAATGTTTTTGTTGTAGTGATAGTAATTTTTGTATTCCACTATCTCACCACAACATCCGTTTCGGTGCACGAGATATAATTTATCAACTATCTTCTTCCCTCCTTTCTCATTTTCAAAATTATACATTAAATAACTATTATATTTAATATTTTTTTAACAAAATATATGCGCAAAAGCTTTACTACGGGAAATAATTCATGTAATACATATACAAAATTTTAAAAAATAGCTTTTGATTTAACTTTTATGTACGCAAGCAAGTTGTTACGATTTTGCTTAAATTTTTATTATTTTGAATAAAATTTATACTTAAATATTAGGACAAATAAGATAATTGACTAAAATACTTGACATTAAAATAATAAAGAAATGTTCAATTAAATATAATTAAATATATCATAATTTTCATGCAATTAAATTCAAGATATTATCCTATTAAAATGTTTGATATATTTTTCATTTGATACTTATTCTCTTGTTTTTTTTTTACTCACTCATATATTGATTTAAATATCAAATTTGTAAGTAATTTCTGACCACCCGAAAAGAATATTAAAGTAGTTATCAATGGGAGGGAAAGGAGGTCCACAAGATCCTCCTCTGTAGTCATCATTTTCATCATCTCCTCATCATTGGTGTTTCCAGTATGGTCGCAATAGTCACAGTCAGAATCGCACTTGTCTGGGTTAGCATCCCAGATGAAGTGTCCTCTTATCTTATCAGTAAAGATAGGTTTGTTGTCAGAGTACACACTGGCAATGCGGATCTTACCTTTGGTGACTGACGATATCATCATGGATTGGAAGATTGAGGTGCTTGAAGTTGGAACATCTTCAGGTTTTTTGAAGATGGTCTTGACCGTGCCATCTACAAATCTTTTGAAGGTCGCCTCTATGAACTAGATAGGTTTCTGGATGACATGGAGCTTCTCATAGTTAGTCACCCACTGCATCAGAATCAGCTTCTGCAACTCTTGTTGAGAGATGTTTCTAGGGATCTAAACTATGGAGGCTGTCTCATCTTCGTTGTTAGCCAAGACGAATAGTGCTCTATCTTTACAGGATGGTAGTGCATTTATCGCATGAACTTGTAATCTGTAAATAATCTAATGGTGGAGGATAGTTGATAGTGCAATAACTACCTGCTCAGCTTTAGTGATCTGGATCTGAACTTTTAATGTTTGAGAGATGGTGGGATATGCTAACGTTGAAGTTGGGAAAGATAGTCAATACTACACTCCTAGCATGAAGAGTAGTCAGAACAGTGTCGATGACGGGATGTTCATAATGGAGGTAGCTAGAGTCTAAGAGAGAGACTCTTGCTAAGATGAGTAATACCCGTCTTTCATGGAGGGAAAGAACTAATCGTATAGTCCCGTAGTGGAGATGAGTGTATCCTTCGCTTTGCTAGTGTCTTACGAGATCCTTGAGAATCTCACTGTTGACATATTGTACTTCTATGGTGGAGGCAATGACACACTGGTCCATCTAGGAGGATTGGACATACTCCTTGACTTGAGGTATTCTAGTAGAAAGGAGTCAGATGATAGATCTAATGGTAGATCTTTGTCTCCTAAAATATTATAAGGGAAGATTTGAGCATCTTCCGGGAAATAGGAATATTCTATAAGGTTTTCTATCTTAGAGGAAGAGTTTTTGAGATGTTCTTGGGAAGAGAAAGAGTAGAATTTAACAAGACGGGACCAGACTTGGTTGATGATGTTTGGTTATTCATGTCTAAAGGTTTCTCTTACTCACCTTCCACTTATATATCCTACTATAATACCCCCTTCTGAAAAATGGTTAGGCTCTGAAAAGAGGAATAGGTTGAAGATGAAGTAAATAGGGAAGAATAGGGATCTCTCTCTGTTTTCTGTTGTTTGACTTTCTCGTCAATGTAGCTGCTCATCTCCTGGATTTGGGCCTTGAGCCTTCTGATCTCCCATTTTTTGGTGTGAGATAGTTCTCCAAAAATGGTGTTTCTCCAATCTTCTTCTAGCCTCGAAAACTCAAATGAAAGTTGCTTGTAGTATTTCCTTAGATTCGAGTTAAGATACTGGAGTTTGTCATCAATCTCTTCAAGGTGTGTGAAGATCTTGTTTATTTTTCGGTCTATCCATTGTAGGATAGAGTTCTGGGCTCTTACATTCTCTATTTGCTAGTTAAGTATTTCCTCAACCTGACTTAAGGGTTTCAACTTTCCATCAGGGTCGATTTCCTGTCCGACAACGTGTGGTTTAGTCGTTGTCTTTGACACTAGATCAACATTCGTCTCAAGAGGAGGAAATTCTTCCTTGTAAGCTATCAGGTTGATCATTATGCATGAGATGGAAGGAGCAACAGGAGGTGGCTTGGCAAAGGTTCTGCACCTTTCCTGTGTCGGAGAGAGGATGATGGATCCTAACATACTTTCCAAAGAATTATGGAAGAAAGAAGCCTCCTACTTTATTGTAGCTGATGGAAAAATCTTCAAGACTGAGCGGATCACCAGAGCTCCAATTGGAATCAAATTCTTCCCAGAATGTACAGTCTGGTGCAAAGTAAATGGGAGCAAGCTTTCCAATAAGGATATACTAGTAGGTATGAATATTTTCTCCATGACTAACAAACTTCATATCCATTCTACAGGAATCAAATTCAAGAGGGAATTTTAGTCTTTCACAGATATACCCAGACTCTTCTCCCTCTCTGAAGCTCCTCCTTCTCTGAAGCTCCCCAGACTTTGAAGAAATTAAAAGCAAGTTAGCCTCTTTGTGCACTAACAGCCATGAAGAATTTTCTCACCCCAAGCTTCTATGGAAGAATCCTGAGTTCTTTTTACAGTTATCCTTCAAGCTCAATGAAGACGTCAAACCAACAAAGGCCACACATTTAGGAATGTCTCCTTCAGACCCACACTTAGCAAGACAAGAAGGCCAAGAAACAAGGTCTGATCGAACCAACCCAATCCAATTGAGCCTCTCAAACCTTTTATGTGGAAAGGAGGTCCGAAAAAATCAAAGGAAAAAACTTCTTAACTATTTTCTTAAGGATGACAAATTCCCAATATCTAAAGTCTCATCCTTATCCACTATGATAAAAGAAGCCCATTCCTTTTTTAAGTTTGACCTCAAATTCGAATTCTAGTAATTAGACATTGACCAAGCTGACCAATACAAAACTGCTTTCTGTATACCTATTGCCCAATCCCTTGGGGCTTAAAACAACCCTATCACTATTCCAAAAAGCCATGACAAAAATCTTTGAGCCCATACTAGACAGAGTGCGATCATTTATATTGATGACATCTTACTATTCTCACAAGATATGGACTCCCATAAATAGTTATTGGATTAATTTTTCATAATAACCCTTCAACATGGGATTATGCTCTCAGAGAAGAAAATTCACTTGGTCCAAGAAGAAAATGACTTTTTGGGTATGCATTTCTATCAAGGCTTGTATCAACCTCAACCTCACATTGCAGAAGAACTCCTTAACTTTCCGGATGAAAATCTGACCGTCAAGCAGATCCAACAGTTTCTCTCGAGATAGTTAACTATATTAGGGAATTCATCCCTAATGTTGTCAGATATACATGTTCTTTATCCAAGCTCTTAAAGAAGAATTCACCTCCATGGGGGCCAGAGCAGACTAAAGCCATTAAAGAACTGAAGAAGGTAGCCCAGACTCTTCCAGCTCTGAAGATTCCAAGCAATGGAAAGAGGATACTGCAGACTGATGCCAGTGATGACTATTGGGGAGCAGTGCTCATTGAAGAAGACAATGGGAGAAGAAACTACTGTGGTCATGGCAGCGGACAATTCAAGGATGTCAAGAAACATTACCACACTACTTTCAAAGAAGCCTTGACCAACAAGAATGAAATAAAGAAATTTGACTTCCATCTCAAAGGATATCACTTCGAGGTATAGATGAACAACTCTTAGTTCCCAAAGATCTTAGAGTTCAAGAACAAGATACCTCCTAGTTCTTAAATTGTCCGATTAATGCACTGGTTTTCCAAGTATGATTTTGTTGTTAAGCACATCAAGGGAAACCTAAACACAGTCCCTAACTTTTGGTCTAGATCCAAGAAGATTATCCAATTAATTTTTGACATCTATAGTTTTCTTCTTATCTTCATGGTCAAACCTCTATCTAACAAAACCAGAACTGTCAAATTTTAACCTCCGAATTAAACTCAACCACACCGTGAAACTCACTCTTAAATAAAATTGTTATAAATTTAATGTATTTATTTATTTTTAATTTGTATCATGTGTAAAATTGTGCATATAAACGAATCAGTATACAAATATAAATAGTAATTAAAAAACAGTAAAATATTCATTACAAAAATTATTATTTCTGTTGAGATAAAATTTATTAAACTAAATTGATAAAATTAAAGTTTATCAAACTATAATTTTAAAATTGAAATGTATCAAACATAAAAATATTAAAGTAAAACATACCAAATTAAATAAAATTTATTTATTTAATTGATACCTAAAATTATTTTTTAATTGTTTTGTTTATTTTATATTTCAATTTCGTCAATTACATATTTTTTCTCTCTTAATCTCTTTAATTTTTTCTTTCTAGTATAAATAAAACCAATAAAAATATTTTTTCTCGGTTTTTATTTCTCCAATCACAAGTTCACCTTGAATTATCTCTCATATTTAATAATTCTTTTATATATAATATTATATTTTAAGTTTAATTCATTAAAATAAAAATAAAAAAACTAATGCGGACTCAACCGCATGTCACTCTGTATAAAAAAGGTTGGTGGTGGTAGTTTTCCTTTGAAACTTTCGTCTTACAACCCAACAATAATAATAGGAAAGATGTTTTTCACATCCACAGTTTTCAAAACATAATTTCCTATGAAACTCATATATATATATATATATATATATATATATATATAAACACTGACTTTGAATTTGAAGTTGGTGGAATGTGAATTCAGTTTGCATTGTTGGAAATGAATATCAAATACCTTTCATCACTTGGATCGGCGTCCACACAATTAACGTGGCAATCTCTTGAATTGGTAAGCAATGTGTCAGTTTTCCCGTAACCACAACAAGCCAACCAACCATCATACGTATGCCACAACCGGAGTGCCATGTGATCATCCCTCAAACCTAACAGCAACCACTCGCACCCACTTTCGGTTACTATCTCATACGTGTTCAAACACCTTTCCCTCTTCTCTATGATATAAACCGCTTCGTATGCAGTTTCGTCACGTACATACATACATATAATCGATCGATGGCGGCGTTGATAAGGTCAACGACGGTTAGATTGGCGCTCCTGGTGCTGTTGGCGTGCGTGTTGTGCGCGGTTTCGCACGGGGGATCGGTCGGGGGGAAGACAGAGATCGCGGACGTGAAGACGAACAAAGATGTGCAAGATCTGGGGCGGTTCTCGGTGGAGGAGCATAATCGGAAGGTGAGGGAGGAGCGGGGGGAGGCGGCGGCGGTGGCGGAGAAGGTGGAGTTCGTGGAAGTGGTGGAGGCGCAGCAGCAAGTGGTGTCTGGGATCAAGTACTACCTTAAGATATCGGCTACGCAGAGTGACGGAGGAAATTCCAGAATATTCGATTCCGTTGTGGTCGTCAAGCCATGGTTTCGTTCCAAACAGCTTCTCAATTTTGATCCTTCCACACCATGAACAACAATAAATAGGCTACGCTCCATATCAATAATCTAATGCCGAGGGAGTCTCATGAATAGTAAATAAAACTAGTCAAATAAAAGTTCTGCGCGTATTAAAGTTGAGACTGGAAATTTCGGTTTCCAACACTTTTTTTATTTTAATTAACGGCCATATTGCAATGCTAAATTAAGTTTATAAAGATTTATCTTTTTAATTTATCGATGGTGTTTTTTATTATTAAGTATATAAACATTGGCTTAACAATTTCCTTTTTGGCTACTTTATCTTGCAAATCGTTAGGCGGAAAGATTATATGTCGAGATGGACACGATCATTCAGACTTTACAGGAGGGGAAGATAACTGACTATAATCTCGGAGTTTTTCTCATTTTTTTTATATTTAGAATTTCTACTGTCGTTTACGTTCCAACTGTACCTGCCAAATGAACTGCAACTGAGAATAAAGAATTAATGTCAAACCATTAACCCAAACAACAAGCATTTTTTTATCGGCGGGTCCTGATTCCCAAGCCTGCTGCCTAGAGAATGTGTATCATCGGTTGGCATTGCTGAGACCCTAGTAATAGTATGCGTGCGGTTCCAGCTTTTAAAACACCTTGTTCATGCCCATATTGAACATTTGGTATTTCTTTAGGAGACTTTAGTTCATAAAAACGAAGTTTAGGAAGTTTGCATACACATATGTTAATATTGCTTTCAAGTGTTCCAGTATTTTTGGAAGAATAAGAAATATTGATTGGGGAAGAATAAGAAATGTTAATTTGTTTAGCTGTGAGGAGGTTAGAAAAGTATTAAAGTTTGAAATTAATTTTGTACACTCATTCACTCCAAGAAAAAAAAAATTTTAGCGACGGATGCAATTAGCGACCGATTTTGCTACCAAAATATGATTTGATTTCACTTTTTTATTTAGTGACTGAAATAGTGATTAATAATTTGTGTCACAAAATTTCGGTGAATAAATTATTTAGTGACTGATTTAACGACATAATTACAAATTGAAATAGTGATCAAATTGAAATCAGTCGTTAATGAGAAAATAGCGACTGAATTGAAATCGATCGCTAATGAACATAATTTTTTTTATTATATTTAATTTATTTTTTTATAAATATACTTTAATTGCTTTAGTATATTTTTTATAATTTATTTTTAAAAAATAATTTATTTTTCAAAATATACTTTAAAAATAAACTTTGGTTTTAATGTTAACAAAAAATGAAGATTAACTTTAATTTTAAATTACTAAAATAAAAATAAATCAAATTTATTAAAAATTTAAATTGTAATAAATTAAGACTGGATTGATATTATTAACTATTCAATACATTATTTAAGAAAATTTTAATAACAAATATTCTTTAATATATTTTTCAATTGAAATTAAATTATATTTTAAAAATTTATATTAAAAAAATTAAACACATCAAATTATCACATTTTAATTCCTCATTAACTTAATTAATTAAAAATAATTACAATTTTAAGTTAAATTATTAAAATTTTATTTTATAATATTTTATTTTTAATCTAATTTTAAAATTTATTGCTTTATTATTATTAATTGCTTAACCATGATTTTCATATAATTGATATACCAGAAAATTTTTTATATCAAAATATAATTGATATACATTATATAGTAAATATATTATTTAATTAAATTATTTATAAAAATATATTTATCTTTAGTTGAAATATTTTTTACTTTAATATACTAATTAATATTTTTAATTTTTAACATAATTAATAACAAAGATTAAAAATAGACTAGCTAGAAAAGTCAAAAATTTAAAATTAATCTATTATATAAATACTAAAAATAAATCATATTTAAATAAATTAAATATATATTTAAATTTATATTCAACACACCTCAAATTTTGCTCAATAAATGAATGGATCACGTTTGAAAACTTCATCCTCGAAATAACTTCAAACTTATTAACTTTTTTTTCAAAGCCCAGTTTTCTTGTCAACTTTAAAAAAAGAAATAGTTAATGGAAGTTTAAGATTGTGCATTTTTAAAATTTTAACTTTTTTATATATTAGATTTTTATTAAAGAATTTCTAAAATTGGATAAGAAAATGGAGATTTAATTATATTTTTAATAAATTTAAGATAATACTAGTTTTTATTTTTTATTTTTAAATATTTATTTTTAAATAATCTAGTCATTTAAATTTTTGATGTGATGATTCTAATTAATTCATATTATCAAATGATTTTATTTGATTTGTTATAGTAAAAATCATCAAAGTAAATGTTAAAATAATATTAATTACTTTAAATTATAAGAAAATAAAAAATAAATTTGAAGTTAAAAAATACGTAAAAATAAAATATAAAAATTTTTTAAATACTTGTCTTAAATAATATAAAACAAATTTAATGATGGATTAAAATAGAACAACATTTATAAGAGACTATTTATTTTTATTTATGATGGATCAAAAGTGAAAATAAATTTAAATTTATAATTTTATTTATGAAACACATTTAAATTATAATTAACAAAAATAATGAAAATATTAATTAATATGATACTTTTTAGTAATGTATTTTTTTATAAATTTAAACTTATTATTTTTAGTTTAGTTTTTAAATTTTATGTATTATTATTGTTAATTGATATACTAGAATAAATATATATAAAAGTAGTCTTTATCTTCAAAATTTACTTCTTCAAATTCTATCTTTATATTTTTCTATTTTTTCTTTATAATTAAGAAGATCAACATTTGTCACATACTTAAATTTATTATCACCTCATATATTATTATACATTATTAGCTTAATTTTAGTTTAATTAAAAATTAGAATACAAATGCTATACTATACTAATATACAGTATATTATATAATATTTATAATTTATTTTCATTGTGTATAAATTAAAAAATTAATAATTTTTAAAAATTTTAATGATAATTTTTTTAAATTTATATATTACAAAATATTTTTTAATACTTTAATAAATATAACTTTTTTTAAATATATTTCATCAACTTAAAGTATAATATTATTTTTAATATTTAATATTTATATTTTAAAATTTTTTCTTAAATGATAAATGATAAATGAATAATATTAATATTTTTAATTAATTAAATTTATAAATAATTAATTAAAAACATTTATTATCTTTTGAAAAAATATTATATTATAAATTTTTTTATTAAATATTAATATATAATAGTTGACATTCGTCCGGTAGCTAAAAAATTTAATTAAAAAAAAGAAAGAGAAAAAAAGAAAGAGAAAGAAAATTAAAATTAAGAATAAAAATTTCTTAATGTTTCTTCTTTTGAAAAAAAGAAGAAGAAGAAAAACAATAAAAACAAAAAAGCAAAAATAAAAATATTTGAGAAAAGATAGAGAAAGAAAATTAACATTAAGAATAATCCTTCTAAAATAAATATGATAAGAAAAAGAAGGTAATAATTTTCTTTATTATTTTATTATTATCATTTTATTTTTATATGAAACAAAAATGTATGTAACCGTAACCGCGAATAGCCTCCCGGTTCTCTCTCCACTGCGTCGCGACCACTAGCGGCCACCGCCTTCACCCAGAGCCTCCTCACCTTCGAACCACCAATTCCCATCCGGCCAAGCCCCGCTAGCCGATCCATCACTGCAAATCACTAACCCGTGAGCCCCTTTTCCGCGCCTCTCTCCCAAACCACCTTCACACGCACCCTTGTTCTTCTTCTCAGCCACAGTCTCCACTTTCCAGCCATAGCTCCTTCGCGAGGCACCCTACATCACTCGGCATACGTGGCATCCATGGCCACGCCGCCACCAGGGCCTCCATCGGCAATCCCGCAACCACCGCCTAATATGTAAGATTAGACTCCCTATATCTTTGTATATATTCAAATCTAAACTCTGGTTGCAGGACCATTTTAGTATAAGTCTGGCCTGCATTTTACTAATAGGACATCAAATGCATCTTATTCTGAATATAATAATAATGCGTTTTAGTTTACCTACTATACATGATGTCTCTTGAAATCAGGATTTATATTTTTCAGTTTCTTTTTTAAATTTAATTAGTGAGTGACAATATAGAAACATTTCTGGTTGAAGAGTAACGTAACAAAGCAATTGTCTCAAGCTTATGCCTCAAATCTCAATTAATACTAACTAGTGGAAAAGTACCCAGGAATACCTGATCATCCTAATATAATCAACGTTTTGGTTTGTGCTTCTATACGTATAAACTGTTGGATGAATAATACAGGTGTTTTTAATCACCCTAATCCTAATTAGGAATCAATCTCTCCTCCCAAATCCTTCTTCAAATTACGGTACTTAGTTTTAGTGCAAAGGCTTTCATAAAACTTGTTGACAAGCTTAACACCAAAGAGAAATAAAAAAAATAGCTTGAAAGAATTCATGGTCAGAAGAGAAGGCTGGGAGAAAATGGAGATTCTCTAAATTCTGAATCTGATTAATTGTTATTGTATTTTCTCAGTTAGCTAGGGGTCTGAATATATTAATTGAACTAAATAATAGAAAAATAAGTATTTTGACACATATCTATCCCATATCATTATTGTGTGCAAAGAAGCAACTTTTAATTTGTAGGCAACTTCCTTTATTCTTATGTGTTGTATATGGTCGATGTTCAATCTTGAGTAATTTGATCGCAAAGATATTGTAAAAAACATGATTAGCTTTCATTTTCAATTTAGTTATCTCTGCAGAATTCAAATTTTCTTATCTTTTAACTTTTTAGTATTTGTTTTGTTAATTCTCTTTTGGAATTTCAGGTACTTCTCTTTTGAAATTTGATTTTAGTTTTAATTATTTGAATTGACAATTCTGCCCTTATTCAATGCTGCCCACTGTATATACTCTAGCGTAATAGAGATAATAGCTTAAATGAAACGAGTTCCCTTCATTTTTAATGTATCCCAAATGTGGAATTTGATTTACAAATTATTTCAATTTTTTTCCCTGATATTGATTTCTAACAAGGGAACTGA